AAATTTGTCCATTTTACTACAAACCTATTGTATTATGGTGTGACTTTGTCCATTCTGTTGTTTCCCAGAATTCACTTTATGGTTTCCTCATGTCAGAAACAACCTGTTTCTAATTTTGGGTGCTTATAAATAATACTTGTTGAATATCTGTGTGCAGGGAGAATTTCCTGAAAACTAAATTTGTCTCTAAGATTGTCAGAAGTTTCTAGATCGTGTCGTATGATGCTGAAGGTCTTTCTATGATGTCAGCTCACTTTCTAAGAAGCTGGAGTACTTGTTTTCACATGAGGATGAGTTCCATTTTACTTCATCTCTGTTAGAATGGACCATTACCATTTTTAGTTTGGAATGTAAAAAATAGTATTATTTTTAATTTGCATTTCTTTTATCTCTTTTCTCTTTTATGAAGTGTTCTGATGTTGGGATTAAAAGACCCTAAATAAGGGGTTGTTTAGATTTCAGTGATGATACTGAGTGGGTCATTGGTGTTATTTGAGCAATTCCAGTTGGATTGATTTCTTCTTTTGTCTCTTCTAAAACCCTGATCTAGTTTAGCGCTTGTCATGTCAATGTAGGAAAACAGCCAGCCAACCAAACCTTTCAAAAGCAAGCTAGTGGAAGAGTTCATTTCATCCCATTTCAGGTTTAGTCTCTCCCTGAGTGTGACTGAAATTTGTGCTTATTTAATAGTTTCAGAATATTAACTAAGGCAGAGTTATGTAAGTCTTAACTCACCTTGTCCTGTTTGTTGCCTAATTTACATTGAAGCTCTATGTGAATATTTAGAGAAGGATGCAGTTTGAATTCTTTCGTGGGGAGACTGTGCGTTTTCTTTTATTTGCTTCTGTTGCCACTGACGGGGGCTCGGCAACATATGGCACCATCTGCTTTACCACGCAGACTCCCCTCAGGAGTCCCGCAGACCAAAAGCTCTGCTGGCGTGTGCACGTCTGTACGATTTCATGTTAGAAATACTGTGTGGGAAATACAGTGCTACCAGGAGCATTCTGCTGGCTGGCATTTCCACTTCTTCTTCTCCACGCTTTGGAAAGATTATTACATGGTTAAGAAGGCACAGTATATGTGAATGTCTGTGAACACGTTGTTTCCTATCTGCACATGTCACTAGCAGAAAAGTATAGGTTAGAGTTAAAACGGGGAGGAAAGTATAGGTTAGAATTAAGATGGGGAGGAACGTTTTGACACACTTGAAGGTAAATTAAAGTAAATGTCAGGATCTAGAGATGCAGTGAGAAGGAAAACCGAGTCAATTTATATCTCATTGGCTTTCCCAGAAATGTATTCTGTCTTATCTGCTCCCCTTCTGCCTCTTTATTTTCTTGCGTGATAGAAAAAGTCCCCCATTATTTGGGCACTCCCTGTGTTCCAGGCATGGTATTAAGTGTTTCAGGTGCTTTACTATTCTTGATTGTCACGCAATGATTGCACAAATGAGGAAGTGAAGGGGTATGGAAGTTAAGTTCATGGCTGTAAGGTGGCCGAGCCTGGATTCCTAGACAGAGCTGCCTGACTCGAAGCATTCTGTCCACAATTCCTTATCCTCCAACAGCTGTGCTTTCTCTCCCATCACAAACAAACAACAGTGCTTGGAGTCAAGGTGGCCTCAGGGTGCCTTCATACTTGACAGTTTCTCTTGTGTCTTGCTGAGGGCTGGCTGGATGATCACCTTTCTGCTCACTTGACAGGGTGTGCCAACCCTGATTTCTCATCGAGCTTGCAAGCAGTGTACTCTCTCTCCATCAGAGATGTGCAGGCATCCCCCCCCCGTCTTCATCACATGCTCACATGCTCTCCATCATCTGACCCCACCGAACCACAAGGGATGCTGGGAATTCTCCATCCAGTTCTGTGACCAGGAAGGGGAAGATCTCATTCTCATTACCTCATTATAGAAACGAATAATGAAACACAAAGAAGATCAAAGAAACCACCCTAATTCTCCCACCAGAAAGTAGCCACTATTAATAGAGAGCTCTGCCTATAGAAATAGACGTAGATGTGATGACATCAGCGCACACGTTATTATTTTATAATTCCTAATCCTGCTTCTTTGTTAACATGTCTCACTCAATCTACTCTAATATTCCTCAAAGGCCTATATTGGCTTCGTTAACATGGTTATTCAACGTCCCCTATGTGTATAATCCCTAGGTGTCTCCCATCCTTGTATGAACAACTTTTTACATCCAAATGGTGCACAGAGAGACTCCTTCTATTGAAATAATTAGCCTCCTTCAACATTAATGACGGTTACCTATTGTCTCAGCTATGAACCAATTTAAGGTGGACTGATAGGCGACAGTGAGCCCTGGGCTGGCAAAGACTTGGTCAAATACTTAATTAAATTTAAAATCTATACTATCAGTAGCCTGGGACATAAAGGTAATTTGGAGTAAATTATTTTCCTTGGACATATTATGATTCCTAGTAATGGTTGCTTTTTGTCTGTGTGTAAAATGCTGGCTCAGTTTTCAGGTATATGAAGCACATGGATCAGACTCTACCTTTTGAAAAACTCAGATAATGTATCCTAATTGGGTTTTCTGGCATTTTCCTATTTTTCTATGGTTTGAGGACATGTGTGCAGAATCAAACTTACGAGGCCTGCCTGTGGTCCCCTCAAGCCTTGTCTGTGACTCTTCCTTAAATATCACTGATATTGTGTTAGACCCCTGGTCCATGCAGTACGAGCAAGGATGTTTGTAGAGGGCATGGTGGTCCTTGGTCTTTCTTGCAAAGAGAAAAAAAAAGCTTACCTTTTCTTTATAATGCCCTAGTAACTGGAAACTGAAGAAGGCAGCATGTAATCCCCTGCATTTCCAATGTCAGCTGACCTCTATTTCTTAGCGTTAAGTCAGCATAGCAAAGGATTTGTCAAACACTTTACAAACACTAGATCCCAGACGCCTACTGAAGAATCATATTTCTTCCGGCCCGATTGTCTGGAAGCTTTTAGTGTCTAATCCAGGGACAATGAAAAAGTACATGAATATTCAACATCATTCTAGAACTGCTGCCACACGGTAAACTGGGGTACATCCCTCCTGTTTCTGTGGCTTCTAAAAGTCACGTGCATAGAGGATGAGCTGCCAGCGTAATGCCCATTCCTTAGAAAGAGTCTGGGTGTGTGATGAAGAGTTTTGCAACCCAGAGGCGTCTGTGGGAAACACGTCTGAGGAAGGCCGGAGAGGCAGTGCTCAGCCCCTGGGAGTCCGCTTAGAGCCCGAGGGCGGGACTTCTGGGGGGAATGGACGTCTCAGCTGAGAGGAGCAGCCTCCAGAGAAATCAGGCCCAAAGTTACTTCTATTTCCCTCCTGTGAGAATTGTATAGAACTCAGGCAGGAATACAACTTACCTTCCAGGAAGTCCAAGCAAGTGTACACGTTTTGGGAGGACGCACCTTGTGACTGTCTGGAGGCCTCAGACTGTCCTCAAGGCCCACCCAGGTGGCCCAGAAGCTAGCCCCACCTCCGCACAATGCACAAGGCTTGTGATGATGAACTCCACTGAAGGCTGCTCTGCTCTGGAGAGATCTGAGCCCAAGAGAACCCCCCACCTCACACCCCAGGAGCAAAGCAGCCCACACAGCAGGAGCTAGAGCTCAGAGTTCAGACTGAGTCTTAAGACCGGTGATCGATGTGGCAACCTTCGGCAAATCGGTCATCCCAGTTTCTTATTCTGAAAAATGGGATACTCATAATACTCTCCTCGTGGAATTCCTTTGTGGCTTAATTGATGAATATGTGAAACCATTATACAGATTGTGGGGGTATATTAATACAGATTGTAACAAAGTCGCAGATCCCTCAACTATCAGTGTTAGAAAGTTCGTGCTACAGTTTGAGCTCTTCTGGGTGGCTTTGCGACGATGCGCAGCTTCCAGGAGAAACGCGTGTGCTGTGTGCATCGTCCCCTTAGCTTGATTTCTTCTTCCATCAGCGTGTCCGGACCTCCTGCCTTTATACTTCTCCTCAAAGCCTTTATTCGCCAAACCGTCAAGTCAGTTCATTATTCCATTTTGGGGCTGGAGACTGACGTCAGGATGTGGGTCTGGTTGCTGTGTATGTTTTTGAGTTTCTGTCTGATTTCAGAACTTGTGTGTGCACACATGCACACACGTGTGTCCGGGTATGGTGGGGGGGGGGCTCTCTGGCCTTCATAGTTGGTTATTTGTGTTTACTGATATCTCCAAGTTCATCCCTTGTCAACTTTCATTAAATCACCCCACAAACATTGTTTTTTAAAAAATAAAGTCCCAACTGCTCTAAGTGGTGAGGAGACACTGATGATCTCCCAGATAATCGTGTGCCCCGGAGAGGTGACAGTCTGGTGGGGGGAAGGTGACCGATTGAACACATAGAAGCAGATGGTTCTAAGTGACACGCTAGTACAGGGGCCTTGGAGGTAGAGCCCTCCCAGAGTCGTCCCCCTGTCCCCACGTCCCCCCCCCCCACCCTCCGGTCTTGCCCAGGGCAGGCTTGAGTTCAGGGACGTCTCACCAGAAGTGACCTTGGCGCTGAAACCTGGAGGATGAGATGGAGGACGGTGAGGAGCCCTGGTGGGGGCGGTAATGGCAGCAGGAGGACGACTCCAAAATATGGACTTTCCTGTGGGCACCCACCGGGGAGAGGAACTGGCTCAGCAGCGAGAGTGGGGACTCCGGCCAGCTGGGCCACTTCTTAGTAACGGAAGCTGGGGAACCCTGGCCAAGCTGCCTCACCTCTCAGGGTCTCAATTCCTCCTCTGTAACAATAGTACCTTCCTCTCAGGGTGTTACGACAATTAAAGGGACTATTTTTAAAGGGCTGAGACTGTGCCTGATACTAAGTAAACACCACACAAATGTTTGCTAAATAGGAATAAATCACCTGATGTACGAGCCTCAAGAGTATCTTTTTTTCTTTTAAGAGGATTTTTTTTCCTGACTATAAAAGCATATAAAATTTTTTCCTAACATTGAGCATTGGTTTGTGTTCTAGACACGTTCCTGAGTCCTGGATCCTTTTTCCCTCTGGAAATATTCTACGGCGGGTCTTTATTATTTTGAATAAAAGCAACCACCCATCATGGACCTCATCGGGTTGCTGAAGTCCCAGTTCCTGTGCCATCTTGTCTTCTGTTACGTATTTATCGCCTCGGGGCTCATAATAAACACCATTCAGCTCTTCACTCTCCTTCTTTGGCCAATTAACAAGCAGCTCTTCAGGAAGATCAACTGCCGCCTGTCTTACTGCATCTCCAGCCGTAAGAAATTTACTTATTATCCTCTCTCTGCATCTTCACCGCTGGGAGGGGAGGGGTGAGAATTCGGGCTTTTCTGTAGGTTCACTAGGCTTGCAGTGTGTGCTCAGCTCTCTATATTTTTTTGTTTCTGTTTGTTGGGTTTGGGGTGTGAAGTGTCTATGTTGTCCTCAGTCTTCAAAAGTTGTGTTTTGAATGAGTAGTGCCAATAGCACAAAATTCAACAGGCACAGAGGGTATCCTATGAGAAGTGAATATGCACTCAGTCTGCTTCTTTAGTTCTCCTCCTCAGAAGCAATCCGTGTTAATGATTTCTTAGTTATCCTTATAATAGCTTATAGATGGAAATAGCTGATATAGGAAAATATACGTATATACGGCTCATATGTGTGTACGTGGATGCAGGCGAGTCTTTCCGTGATATGTATAGATACATAAAGCATACACTTACTTTAAAATCTAAATGGCCATATTATATGTTGTTCTCTTTCTTTTCTTAAACTTTTTTATGTTGAGATGAGTGTAGAATCATATGTGGTTGTGAGAAATAATAAGAGAGATCCCATATACCTTTCAGCCAGTTTCCCCCAGTGATAACCTCTTGTGTAACCACAGTATAACATCCCAACAAGAAAATTAACATTGGTACAATCCACCAACCTTATTCATATTTCTCCAGTTTTGTATACAGGTGTGTGTGTGTGTGTGTGTGTGTGTGTGTGTGTGAGAGAGAGAGAGAGAGAGAGAGAGAGAGAGAGAGAGAGAGAGATTATACTAGGCTATTTTAAACGTGACTAATTCAACTGGCCTGGATTTCAAAAAATTAAAATGGAAAAAGACAAATCAAAATAAGGGGACATCTAGGGATGGGTTTTATTGTTGATTCATCTTAAATCTATAACTGTTCTCAACAGTAGAAAATGCAGTCATCATTAGCAATTATATATATGGGTGTGTACATACATATTTTAAAATATGAGCTCTTTCAAATTAAGCAATTTAAAAATCTCTCCCTTAGATTATGCCAAGAGTCCGAAATTATTGCTATCTTTCTGAAACAATAAGAAGCAATCAAATTTGAATTTGAATCAAAACTATACAAGCTGTATACAGTTGTCCAAATGGATTACTACTAACCCAATTCGTTATTTTTTAAACCTCAAAATACTAACTTGTGAGGAAAAAAAAAAAAGGTAGAAACATCCATGTTCTTGATTTCTTCCACCAACTCAGACCTTGCAAATACCAGGGGCGCCAAAAAAATGTACACATTTTAAGAGATGTTATCTATGTATTACTTTTCAAAGTTGAATTGAATTACGGTACCAATGTGTAGTATGACGTTCGCTCAAAAGATGGCGTTAGTCAAATGAATGCTAGCGTCATTCATTGTATTAAAATTTTAACATAGGTTTTTCCTTTCTTTAAATGTATATACATTTTTTTGGCACCCTCTGCATGTCTGCTACTGTTTCTGATATAGTTTGAGTGTTAGACCTACTTTGTCTTGTATTAGAGTGCTTTAGATAAACAGGTCTTGAAAATCTTAATAAGATTTTAAAGCCAACTTATAACTGCAAAAATATATCTTGAGTCCATGTGCCTGCCATGGCCCGTTGGGCTCAGCCACCCATTCAACACAATAGTCTGTAATGCAAGTGTCCTTGTCACACATTTTACTCTGACATTGGCCTCTGGTATTTAGGCGCCTACCGTGTGGTATTGAAAGGGACAATTTTTCAGAGCAGGGCAGAGGAGTTGAGATGGCTGCACCTGAATCATAGCTGAAGCAGGAAGGCAGAAGAGTACGTAATCAAAGGAAGGAGACGGTTTGGTTGCCTCTTACCTTATAATTTTTAAATGTCCTCCTAAACTCTAGCAATCAATAGGTGTCTATTTAAACAAAATGTAAGTGTAACAAAGCTGTGCTCATTGAACTTTTAACTGAAACCTGCGTTTATATGATGGGCACACAAGCGCTGAAGAGTCCAAAATCTGTCAGTTTGCAATTAGAAATGATGTCTATTTGCACTGTCACAACCCCATCCATGTTTCAAACAGATGGTTAAAAAATGGGGTTTCTCATTTGGAGTCAAGACGTAAGAGCTAGGGTTCAGGACAGGAGTTCCTAAGATACCATATTTTGCTTTGGGTAGGTAGTGAAGATGTACCAAGGTTACAGCAGGATCGTGTCAGTGTTTTTCTAGGCTACTTGCCTCTGGTGGAAATTAAGATGGGTAATAAAATCAGAGAGCAAGGTAGATTTTTATCCATCACATATTAATTAAATTATTTAGAATAATTCCAAATGAAACTCAAGAACAACCATCCAAGACCACTGGCATTTCCCTGCAGAGAGTAAAATGACGGGCTGGCAGGCTGACTTCATTGAAAGGCCTGGAAGCACATCCATCCAGGTGCATCCCACCCAGGTACATCCCATCCAGGTACATCCCATCCGGTACATCCATCCCATCCGGGTACATCCCACCCAGGTACATCCCATCCGGGTGCATCCCATCCAGGTGCATCCCATCCGGTACATCCATCCCATCCGGGTGCATTCCACCCAAGGGCATCCCACTCAGGGGCATCCCACCCAGGGGCATCCCACCCACGGGCATCCCGCCCACGGGCATCCCACCCGGGTGTATCCCACCCAGGGGCATCCCATCCAGAGGCTTCCCACAGCGCCCTGTGCATCCTGCCCCAGAGGGAAGCTTCCATGGCTGTGGGCTGAACATAAGCAGGGTCATTTCCTGGCCCTCTGGAGAGGGAAAGGAAGGCTGCTTCTCTCTAGAGGAGCAGCCCTGGCTCCTGAGAGCAGAGCACGTGGCAGCAGGGAGGCTGATGCACCCTGGGCCTGGCTGATGGGCACCTCATTGTAATGAGTCTGTCCAATCAGGAGACTCACCCACCCTTTCCCTGAGTCTGCATTTCGGGAATCATTGCATATGTTGGACTGCACTGCTCCCCCCTCTCTTTTCTCTTGCTCTCTATAGTTGATGGATTTCCTTATACCCTGAGTGTTTCACAACAATAACGAAAGAGGCTCTATAGGAAGTGGGCATCGATCACCACAGGCTACAGTTGGTGGGCTGTTCAGCAGCTCAGACTCAGAGTTGGCCAGGCCCCGCTGTTTGCTTTTGCTCTCCTCCTCTTTTCTCTAACTTAACATAAAAACTGTTCATGTGTTCATGGGCTTTAGTTGTGTCTTCTGGCATATGCATCACTCTAAAGCTTAGAAAATCAGTAGCCTCCATCATTTGCAGCTGATTTTTTTAGGAAAAAAAAAAAAGGCTGGATAAATTGTTTCCTAGAGACTCGGATCCCCTCCATCACCCTGTTTACTAATAGAGCTATGTCATCATCCTTTTTCCTGTAAATGTTTGATAAGAGCCTGGTGTCAGCCCTGGTGTGCTGAAGCTCATGTTGACAATGTCAAGCCCGATGTAAATGACAAATTGAGACAAAGTGCAGCAAAGACGGCCTGGCTACCAGCACGACACACAGAGCAGAGAATTTTAGGTTAAGGCAAGGACCTACATCATGAATGACAGTTTGGAAGTATATTTCATCTAGATGGCTGGGTTTTGGAGGGTTGTTTTGTTTTATTTTTGCCTAGATTTGTAGGCAAAGATAGGCTGGCTTAGCATGTGAATGAGGAGGGGAAGCTACAGCAAGCTTTTGCAAGGTGAGAAGAAAGACGGCGGTTACAAGAAGTGGGGTGAGGGGTAGAATGCGATTACCTTTCCATGGTGTGCCTTTTAATCTCTGGGGAAAAGTAGCCAAGACCGGCTGGCTTGTTCTGACCCTCTGACACTGGGGGTTAAAAAAAAAACAAAACCAGAAAGATTAGCAGAGTCTATTAATGGCAGAGTTTTTAAAAGGGGGGAGTGGGGAGGGGCTACAGATGACTTTAATGTTCTGGAAAGGACTGGTGACACAAAGCAAAGTGGAGACACCGTCCCCGCCCTCAGCACCCTCCCCGCCTCGCCCTGCCGCCCCAGAGTCTGGCTTCCAAATTCTGCACCGTTGCTAACTAATTCTGTACGTGCCAGCCTGCCGCTTAACTTTCCTGGACGTGCGCTCATGGTTCTCAGTGGCTGTCGGAGGCACATGTCCACGCCGCTTCGCTGACGGACAAGGCTTGTCCCTGACGCAGTTTGACTGGTTAGGCTGTCATACAAGGCCATCTCCCAAAGTGCTAACTTGACTGTTTTTATGTATTTCTTTCCTTCTTCTGTCTCTCACTTGAAATTGAAGGTCCCTTCTCCCACCCCAGCCCATCCAGAAGCAGGATAAGAATTTTAAAAAATAATAATAATAAGAGTCCCTAACCTGAGTGCCAGGTGCTCAGGCACAAATTAGTTTCCTTTTTTTGAGATGAGTTAGTGTAGGCGTGGCAGGTGCAGGCAAGGGCTGGGGAGAGCCCTGTTAGGAGGCAGAGGGACAAGGACCTGGAGGGGGGTAGGGGGGAGGTGCAGAGCGCCAGTTCCTAGCGTAGGCCCTACCCGCCCGGAGTTGGTCCCCAGACAATCATCAGTCCCCCGAATCGAGGGTCAGCACCAGAGCACCTTAGGTGGAGATAGACAGGGAGGGGCCCTCCCCTTGGATGAGAGAAGCAAACGCTGCAGGAGCCTCCCAAGAGCTGTTCCTGGCTGTCCCCTCGACTTCTGTGTGCGGCCTTCCGAGGGGAAGTCGCGGATTGATCCGCTCGTCAGGAGACAGCTCAGAGGCGCACGGCTCCCCTGGGCTCAGTCCCTTCCCAGGCCATCCTTTCTATTTGCCCCACCCCACAAAGGACGAGGAGTGCATAGCTGGTGGGGGTCCGGGGAAGTGGCAGCAGCTCTGCTGAGGCCCCCACTTCTGCGTGGGACAAGGAGAAACGAGCTAGAAGCATCGCAGTGTGCAGGCCTCAGGTGAGGCCACAGTTGGGTGTCCCCTATCCAATGAAAATACAGAGCAGGTCTAGGGTGTCATTAGTAAGCAAGTGATCCATC